GGGGAGAAGCAACAAGCAACAAGGTAAATAAAGTTGAGAGCGGAATGAAGCTAATCGCTACTAAAGTATTGAGCGAATTGAGTATAGCATTGCCACACTCCAGGGATGGATCCTGATGCTTTTGAAAAACGACGTTGCAGGCGTCGAACAGTCCTCAAGGTCTTTGAACCTCGGCATAGTTGGTTGTTATTATGAGTGTGCTTCTGCCACGAGGTTAATATCTGGGGATTTCTATTCGGTCAACGTTTCGACCCTCACGTCGTTTTCAAAGGCATCAGGTTCTATCGCTGGAGTGTAGCAATGCTATACTCAATTCGCTCAATACTTTAGTAGCGATTAGCTTCATTCCGCTCTCAACTTTATTTACCTTTGTTGCTTGTTGCTTCTCCCGTTAGATTCTACCAATTTTTGAGTTTTCCGTTTTAGGCCAACGGTTAAAAAATGAATGATTTAGGCGCTTCTTCAACAGCTGTCAATCAGCAACTACTTGTAGAACTGCGTATTGCTGAGCGTGAAATGGATCTTCTCGATCCTCGCACACAGGTGAGACACGAATTTTGGTTGTTTGTTCTATGCATTTATGCAACCTAAAACATTTCTTGCTGGACTCATTCAGGTTTCCGAAAAAAAATTTGCACGAAAAGTTCTTCTCTCGCCTATAGCCTTTTGGATGATGTAAATTTGGCTAGATTGCAAATGCAATCCAAAGTTTGACAAGGAGGATGTTCACTTTTTGGGCTTCTAGTCTCTGGTCTTGGAGTCATTCCTTTATCCTATCGTTCGTTCTTGTGCGTCTCTGCATAATTCATAATTAAAATCATAATTATTTATAATTACGATTATAACTAGAGCATAATAAAATTTCTACATCATTTGGATAAAAACTTCCTGAAATTAGTTTCTTCTTTCCTTTTGCGAGTGAATCTCGTAATAAGCATAGCAATTAAGGCATCATGCTTGCTTCGTGAACTACGACAAGTTGATAAGCAGATCGAGCAGATTGAAGCAGCACGTCCCGTCGAAAACTGCTAGCCGTTAAATGCGGGCAGAACCAGCATTTCCTTTCGAAATGGTGGTAAATCTCCGAAAACTCCTACTTTAGGAACATTGTGCAATTTGATTTCTTTTCAATGACTTTTAAGGAGGTACTGATATCGTTTAGATATTGTTTTCATCTGGAAGCTAAACTTCCAAAACAATTCAACTTCGTGATACTATGTATTATCTTAGGAAATTCTTCAATAGTCCTGGTCCCGTAAATCCCTCGTAGTGATGGTTTAACTGTGATTGTCCTATTGTTATTTGATAGATCCGTCTTACTTTGTAGATTTGTTTCAACAGTGCTGATCACCCGCTCCCACTTTATTCTCGTCAGAATTAAACAGCGCCAGGTAGCATTGCTTTGTGTAGATGTGGTTTCATTTTTATTGAACTATATATGTGAATTAATTTGTCTTAAATGCATAAATTGGTGATTTGGTGACATTGATTTGCATTGGGAATTATTGGTCTCGGTTCGTCCATCACATATTTACCTCATGAATCAAGGCAGTAATATCTTCATTCGCCTTGTCGTACACTGTACAATATGTAGTTTCGCACAATTTTTTCACTAATTCCAGTTTCTTCCTTTTATTCTCAATCAAAAAGATCTAGCAGGCGGACAACTATGAACAATGTGTCATATGAATTGAACGAAGTTCCCGCAGCGTCTGAAACACATTTGTAGGTGCTTCCATCAATTTTCAAAGCTGAAATGAAAAAGCAAGGTGTTGTATGAATATTATACTATTGACGATTAAGATCCCCATCTGAACGTTCTATGTCTGACACGGCGTTGAAATTGCAGGCGAGCTCGTCTTATGATTCCAAACCTTCCAACAAAGGTTTGATTCCCGTGTCTGCGATCTTGTCCTTCTTGTATGAATGGGATCTTACTGCTGTGCTTTTCAGCTGTGTCTGATTCACCGAAAGATAATGCTGACACGTCAGCGTCTAGGTCGGAATATTACCGTCTGATGTACGCTTGCCTACAGGTGCGTTTTCAGCCCTAATGTGCAGCCTTTTTCGCATTGCTGTGCCCTTTACCTTTATTTTTTTTTTTTTTTTCACAGGTGTTATCAAATGAATTACAGGAGAAATTTGACTATGTGCAAGCAAGTACTGATCGACTGCGAGATCGCCTGTATCATGTCAAGAAAGTAGGGTTTAACAGTGATTGTTTGTGATCATTTGCCATTCCATGTTAAAGTGCCGTGTTTTCAGGAGGTCACTTATCTTAAAAGAATGAAACGTGTTTTGATTCGTCGCTTAGCTCGCTATGGTGAATCTTATTCATATGCACCGCTGGAGATACCAGATAATGTCGACATCGAAGACCCAGTAGTGAAAAGACGAAAGGAGCGTCGAGAGAGGGAACGAGAACGAAAGGAAGCAATTAGAGCAGCTAAGGTGAGTGTCAGTTGTGAAAGATTGTATCAGCTATACTTGGTATATCTCAAGTCACTGGGTGATGCAGTCAAGTTTCGGCCAAATGCGACCCGGGTTGAGGTTGAGGTTCACAAAACACAAACAGTTCTGGCGGAGCACCGTCCACGTTAGCTGCGCTATTAAGAATTTGTTTCGGAACCGAATCAAGAACTTTGGTTTTTGACACCGGAACGTCGGTGTCAGGAGTCAAAGTTCTTGAATCGGTTTCGAAACCAATTATAAACCGCGACTCTAAACAGTCGAGGCTTGGAAATCTGGAAAAAGTGCCTAGGATGGCGAGGGGAAAACACTCAAATGCTCGTGATTGGCGCGGTGTGCGGCGGGTAGGCGAGGCTAAAATGAGGAACTCCGATTGGCCAGTTCCGTTTTGGTAAAAAAAAAACCGTGTGGCGCACACATTAATATAGAGAGCCAAATTGGGCACCAGTACCGAACATGCGCTGGTTTTGAGAGCGGTCGGCTTCGCTGCCTACTCCTGTCGAGTTCATTGTCAAGTTGTGTTCTTTGTATGTGTTTCTGTTCATGACGCCTTTTTCGTTTGTTACAGAGAGCTCAAAGTGGCATCAGGGAAGAACACACCTCCTCTAGTAATTTACTGCTACATTCATCAAGCGTTATCGGTCAGAATTTAAGCGGTCTTTTACCTGACAATACAGTTTACAATCGTAATTTGATTGTTTTTCAGGCGCTGAGCAAGGTCCTTCACAAGTATGTTGACCTCCCTCAGATATCGTTGTTAAGGAATTGCTGTTTTGATCTAAACCTTGGCTTTACATCGAATTCTGGTGGCGTCTAGTAATCTTTAACCCTTGTAGATTTGTACATTCACTTTTCTTTTTGTGTTTTATTGATTTGAACTGCCGAGTGAAAGTGCTCAATAGTTTTCAATGAGTAGATTTTGCCTTGAATGTTGACTCAAAATGGAGTGGCCTTACTGTTAATTGTTACCACTTTGTTAATGAAGCTGTAGCGTGTCAATTTGATTTTATTTTTATTGGAGCACGGTTATTCTCCACGATATCTGAATTATAGCATTTCACAGTTTGAAAAACCAGTTTTACTTTAGAATTCCGCTATTAAGAATGCGATGAAAATGACATCTACTGAAGTGTGTGATCTCTCTTCTCATGGTTACACTGTCCAGCAATGGATTGGTAAATGCAGTTGTTAGGCTTTCTGTTATGGCTTAGCTAAACAATAAATTCCGATTTCCTGTAGGATGATAAGTCGTAAGGATAGAATACCACTGAAAGTAACAAATTGTTGTGAGTTTTGCACGTGGAAGTGTGTTAAAGATCATGATAATAATAGCTGGGGAGCGATTGTTGGGTAGCAGGAAGGTTCAATCGGATGTCGCTTTTGACAGGATTATAGCGTCGTGTTAAGTTCCCGTATTGCTGTTATATATGGGTTTCTGGAACTCGGCTTTACTATATTTCAAAAGTCTAGACAATAAGGTATCTGAGAGTCCGTCACAAAGCTATAAACCCTAGCTACGCTCCCATTTCCCGTATTCTGATCGAGCTGTTGATCAGTCTGGAGTATTACTTTGCTCGCGGAACGTGAACACATCGGCCTCTTTCAGTTTTCAAGGAAAAGTCTCTAAATGCCCGCAATTGCAACAAAAGTGTCTGAATAATGAAGATGAATGATGAATGCTTTATTGTGGTGCTTAGAGTTTCTTTCCTGTTTCCCTTGATTATCCAAAGTTATCTTAATGATCGAGTATGGAACCGATCTATATATCATACACATAAATTCATGGGAATTATTCAGTGGATTTCCCTCGGCAAGCGGGACAAGGAAAGGTTCCACTTTAAACCGTATGCTCACACAAATGAAGTCACACGAAGCTGTGGAAACCTAAGCCAGAAGTCTTTGGGATTAGCATTGCAGTTTAAGTCAGCACCAGTCGGCCATGGTGCCCTTGCGCCACTTGAGGGGTCATGGGAGTTTACCGGAACTTCGAGACACGGGTATGCCGACCACCCACGTGGAACCGGCAAACTTGACAAAATCCGCGACGCATCCTCCCAAATCAGGTTAGAGTGCATAGCCGTGTTTAAGCTGTTTTGGGGACCCGATCACACTGAAGGATTGCTTACTTATAAAATCTAGGGTGTCCCGAAGTAAACGCACACCTGGCAACAACATAAAGTAGGCAAGAAACATGGAGATTGAGACGTATTAATGAGCTCGTAACACAAGAACTTCTGTGAATTCGAGCTTGTTTAGCGCTACTTTGAACTGAGAGGAGTTTTGACACGATAGTAGTGATGGAGGTAGTCGCTGCAGCCACCCAGTAGTGCGTAGAATGAAGCTGTTGTGTCGAAGTCTGCTTATGAAATTTGCCATTGCGTGACCATAAGCCTGGAAGCTGCCTGAAACATGTACAAGTTTACAGTAAAAGGCGATGCAGTGCTAGTTTCTACTCGTTCACGATCCACGGGTCAAAGTGTCAAATCTGATTAGGATTTGGTTTACTGCTGTCGGGTGTGGAATTTTTTGGAATTTGACGTATAGGTCGGAACATCTCCATGGTTCGTCCCGCTCCCCCCCATTCTCCATTTTATAGGTCGAATCTCACATGCAGCAGGCAACAGCGTTTTGCCCGATATTTGAAAAAGTGGTTTTTGCTTTGGAATGTTCTAGGGATCAGGCTTACGAAGCACTATCCAGATGGACTATCGGCTAAGCTTGTGTTTAGGGCATTGTTTCGGTGGAGCAGGTGATGTTTTCTTTGGAAGATGCAATGACTCGACTCGAGTTGCTATAAAACGAATTCCTCTTGATGCGCTGGACATCACGTTTGATCCATCGAGAGCAGAGAGAACTCCGAGGAGCATACTCGTACTCTCGTGCATGCAAAATCACCGGATAGAGGCCAGCTACTTCGAGTTCGTACTCTTGCTTTGCTGACTGCTATACATGTCTTAATAAAAGCTTGGGATTTACTTCAGGACTTAACCTGAAGTTAACCATTCACACATAAAGTTGAGTTATTCAGGAAGATATCGTCTAGGATTGTTGCGACACCCTCATATAGTTGATTTCCACGCTTCTTTTGTGGATGGGCCCTCGATATTTTTGGTGCTTGGCAGTTGTAATTACGGTTTGCATTTTTTAATTTCTTTTAAAGAAATGTGTCGGAGAGGGGATGGCGAGGTCACCAGACGAGAATGTTGACGGGACTACATACTAACTCGGTCCTCAAACGCCTCAATTTGATATTTGATTACCTCGATCTAAAATATTATTGTTCGAGCATTCTAACTGAATATTAAGATACTGTCCTATTCATACTTTACGTTAGGCCTATGGGGTAGGTACTGTGGCTATCGGTGGTCCCCATCAACTTCGATCTTGTGGGCAAATTGGAGAGGTCCAAAGGGGAATGTATCACTGAAAATTTCGGCACGGGCCGGCTTTTTGCATGATACCATTATTGAGATCGCCTCATTATGTTGTCAAACGGCATTGAGATGGAGAATAGGTTTTGGACTACGTCTTATTACAGCTTACTGATGGAGGGACGATCTGTGAGGCTCGTACGCTTTTTTGGATGATCTGGGAACCATAGGGTCGCGAGGGCACGCTTTTAGCATGCTGGGGAAAAGGCTCTTAAGCGCGTATAGATAAAACAGCCTTCAGTCCGCAAGGAATGCATATCGTTTGGACACATGCCGGAGGAGTGATTCAAGGGTCGTCGAAATCTTTCAAAGAAAAGGTTAAAAAAATCTTGAAAAGTCAGGGCTGGTTTTAAGGGAATCAATAAGCTGTGCAGTTAGCGAACTCAAGTACGGCCGCATTAATGTTGTGTCAGTTGTAAGCGACCGTCCTTGAGAATTCAGTCCTTTCACTGTTCTTACCAATGTTTTCGAGTTCTTTTGCTAACACATACTTTGTCCTTTCAGATTGTTTACTTATTCTTTTCATAGCTTTTCATCTAGGCCCCAGTTTCATAGCGTGGACCATGGTGGTGTTGACGGACCTACTAAGTTGGTATCCGGAGACGCTCTGCTGTTCGCGGCTTGCAGTGTAGGCGGCCCACTGCTCTTCACCACCATGTGCTTCCACCTTCCCCTGCTACACTCCGACTGATCTTTAGCTTTTTCTTATTCCTTAGGTGTTGTTGTGTTCCTTGCTTTTATTGGTAAATTCGATAAGTTTCATGCAATGCTTATGTTTGCAGTTGCACCAATAATAAATCATATAGATCATAATCATCATCAGCCTCAGGACTAAGCCTTAAAGAGAGGACGGACCTGCGAGAGAGCGCAGGTCCGTCCTCTCTCCAAGGCTTAGTCCTGGGTAAGCAAACCAGCCCTTTTGGCGGAGCTGCTGGACCAGCTGCACCACTTGCGTCATTACTCTCCTACCGTACCGACCGAGTTGAAGTAGTCCGTCGACCGTGGGGACCCCATCCCCTCCCCAACATTCAGCATACGGCCCCAGCAGAAACGCCAAAAGGGCTGGTTTGCTTACCTAATGTGCGACTGCCCGTAACCTGGGCACGGTTTAGTTGGTGATTCCTTCTGTTCGATCACGAGGCTCCGATCGTTCGGAATTTAAAACAGTCTGGATTGCTTCTTGTTCCACTTCTGATCTCTAGGTCGCCTGGGTTACGGCTTTTAGGAAGGCGATCCCGCCTAAATATTAGCGAATAAAGATCAGTTTCAACCTTATGAGTGCTTGAACAGAAGAGATCAATAGCCTTCCATTAGCATTCGACCTCCCTTATTTTACCAACGCCGATTTTACCCCTAGCGCGGGACGTTCTGAGCGAGTTGTGAAGTTCTGTAGTTAACCCTGTTCACCTCCAGGCTTCGCCCACCTTCAGCATTTGAGCTCCCCTCCTTTGCCACCCTAAACTCACGATCTCTAGGGCCACAAGTTCACTTTGTAAAGTCCTAGCGGCATTGTGGCCCATTTTCGAGACGCGCCAAGGGCACATCTGTGATATTCGGTATCACGCCGCAGAATAGATTTTTCGACAGAACTTCTGGGGTTCTTGCTTTGAAGCGAGGGATTACGATAAGATTGGATTCATTGGGTTCATGGCGGAAGTGGAATAATGCCCCAGTGGAAGAAAACTTCCTGGCTCACTTGGAGGATACGCTCTCCTAAATGGAGTCGTAACCCAGGCGACCTAGAGATCAGAAGTGGAACAAGAAGCAATCCAGACTGTTTTAAATTCCGAACGATCGGAGCCTCGTGATCGAACAGAAGGAATCACCAACTAAACCGTGCCCAGGTTACGGGCAGTCGCACATTAGGTAAGCAAACCAGCCCTTTTGCGATTCTGCTGGGGCCGTATGCTGAATATTGGGGAAGAGGATGGGATCCCGACGGTCGACGGACTACTTCAACTCGGTCGTACGGTAGGAAAAATGACGCAAGTAGGCGCTTGCAGTGGGTGCAGCAGTCACGTTCAGAGCTGTAGTTCGCTTTTACCAGGGATAATCATTGGGAGAGAGGGGTACCTGCACTCTTCGCAGGTCGCGTTCTCTCTTAATGCTTAGTCCTGAGGTCTGATGATTATATGATTATGATTATGATTTATTATTGGTGCAACTGCAAACATAAGCATTGCATGAAACTTATCGAATTTACCAATAAAAGCAAGGAACACAACAACACCTAAGGAATAAGAAAAAGCTAAAGATCAGTCGGAGTGTAGCAGGGGAAGGTGGAAGCACATGGTGGTGAAGAGCAGTGGGCCGCCAACACTGCAAGCCGCGAACAGCAGAGCGTCTCCGGATACCAACTTAGTAGGTCCGTCAACACCACCATGGTCCACGCTATGAAACTGGGGCCTAGATGAAAAGCTATGAAAGAATAAGTAAACAATCTGAAAGGAACAAAGCATGTGTTAGCAAAAGAACTCGAAAACATTGGTAAGAACAGTGAAAGGACTGAATTCTCAAGGACGGTCGCTTACAAACTGACACAACATTAATGCGGCCGTACTTGAGTTCGCTAACTGCACAGCTTATTGATTCCCTTAAAACCAGCCCTGACTTTTCAAGATTTTTTTGACCTTTTCTTTGAAAGATTTCGACGACATTGAATTCACTACCTCGGCTGGCAAGGTGTTCCAAAACGATATGACCCTTTGCGAGAAGCTGTTTCTATACGCGCTTGTAAGAGTCTTTTCCCTCAGCATTCTAAAGCGGTGCCCTCGCGTAACGCCTATGGTTCCAGATATCCTAAAAAGCGTATCGAGCTCAAGATCGATCTCCCTCCAAGTAAGCTTGTACATAAGATCGTAGTCCAAAACCTTTCTTCTCATCTCAAGTGTCGTTGTGGACAAATAATTGAGGCGATCTTCATATGGTACATGAAAAAAGCCTGCCCGTGCGAATATTTTTTCAGTGAATTTCATTTGAACCTGCTCAATTTGGCCCACAAGGTATCGAGTTGATGGGGACCAGATAGGCGCACAGTACTCTAGCAGAGGCCTAACGTAAGTAGTGAATAGAGTGAAAAGTATCTTTATATGTCTAGTTGAGAAAGCTCGAATGATGAAATTTAGATCGCGACTTGTAATAACT